GGGGGTCGCTGTTTGGCACGGCGGGCGGGCGCAGCTCTGTGGGCAGCATCCCAGACCACGAGTCCCCGGGCCAGCCGCCGCGGCTGGTTCGGGTGCTGATGCAGATCATTACTGTGGCCGACGTGTTTTCAAAAGAGAACAGGTGGGGGTTTTGAACGGCCGCCGGCGATCGGGGGGAGGAGGGCCCCGGGGCCGAGGGCGGGGCGCGGCGGGGGGGAACGGCGGTGGGGTGCGCATGGTGGGGCGGCCGCTTCGACGCCGCCCGACGTGCCGGCGCGCCCCACGGGTCGCCCCGGCCTTGTGACTGCTGGCCTTGGCAGACCCCCAGCGTAGCCGCCCGGCGACCTGCCGCCTCCCCACCTCATCTGACCCTCATCATTCCCCCCCCCCCCACACCTTCGGGCTACCCCCCAAAACCAAGGGACGAGGTCGTGCGGCTGTGGCTCATGCCCATCGACGGCGACGCGGGCGCCAACGCGCGGCTGTTCGGGACGCCCCTCAGCGCCTCGGGCCGCAGCAAGCGCCTGGCGCACAGCACAGACACCCAGGTCAGTGTGCGCGTGCGCAAACGCGAACGCGAGTGAACGCGTGCGGGCCGCGTCTCCACGCTCGCTGTCGTGCGTGCGCGTGCCTGCCGTCCGGCGCGGCGCAGGTACAGCGATCGTCCATTTCTGTGCAGCTGTCTGCCCCGCCGCGTTCTTGCGCCTGAGCGGCCCACTCCGCGCCTGCCAGCACCGCCTCGCCTTGACACCCCCAAACCCACACCTCGCCTCGCGTCGCGTCGTGGCCACCGCCCCGGCCTCCCAGTCGTGATTCACGGCCAAACCGAAACCCTCATCGCCGCACCCGGTCCCTCATTCCGATCCCTCAACCCTGATCCCCCAACCCAAGCCCTGAACCCCGGCCCCTGAATCCCATCAGGTGATCTTGCCAGGCGACCCTGTGCGGCCGGGCATGGACCTGGACATGAGCCTGGCGCGGGACCTGGCGTTCCCGATGTACTCGTTTATAGGTGGGGGCAAAGGAAACAGCTGGCACTTCCGCTTTCGATTCTTTGTTTGGAAAGGAGCAAGTATGCCATGTTGTGTCTGCCTGTTTCGACATGTTTGCCCGTGTGTTCTCTTCTCTGTGCGTATCTTTATCAATCGATGGGTGGG